ATTAAAACATTCCGAAGAAAACCCAAGATCCCGGGAGGGCTCGGCCCCCTCCTCCTGCCCTGTCCACAGGCAGGCGGTTCCCAGAGCTGGGGGCGCTGGAGATGGTGTTTAAGGGCAGGTGATATAAAAAGCTTCAACAAATCAATACAGAGAAGACAAATAACCCCTAGAAAATGGGTAATGGCTCTGAGCAAGCTCTTAGGAGGTGGACAAGAAACCAACTATAAAGACCAAAAGCTCCCGGTAAGTGGCAAATTAAAATGACAAAAGACACCATTTTTCACTGGTAAGAACAGTGAGGTCCAGTGGATGAGAGAGCGAGAGAGAGAGAGAGAGAGAGAGAGAGAGAGAGAGAGAGAGAGAGAGAGAGAGAGAGAGAGAGAGAGAGAGAGGGGGGGGTTGTGTGTGGGCAGGAGACCCACCTGGTCACTCCTGCTGCTCTGAGTGTGAACAGGACACGGGCATTTGAGGGTGAGATTTAGCCGTGCCAGTAAAATAACACCCGTGTGTGCTCTCAGAGCTAGCAGTGACAGATACCACCCTGCGGGGAAACGGTCACACAGAGACAACAGGGTTTTCCAAGGAGTGTCCCTGCAATGGTCTAGAATTACAAACATACAAATGAAAATTATTCAGAAATGCTCTAATTGTACATTCCTAGGAACTACTTAATGAATCCCAGGTTTTGGAATATTATGCAGCATTAAATAAAAAGATAAACTTATACTGACGTGAAGCTCTCCAAGACACCAGTTTTAAGTAGAAAAATGTACATGTACATGGCAGGGTGAGAGAGAGAGAGGGGAGAGAAAGAGAGACAGAGAGAGAGTTTGAGAGATAGATAGATAGAGAGAGAGAGAGAGAGAGGTTTAGGCATTTGCCTTGCATACAGTTGACCTGGTTATATCCCCAGCACTGTTTAAGGTCCCCTGAGCACCGCCAGGGATAAGCCCTGAGCACAGCTGGGTGTGGCAAAAAAAAAAAGAAAAAACAGCATAAGACAGAGTCCTATTGACACCAGTGATTTAAAAACAAAGCAAAAGCACAGATCATATCTAGATGGTTCCCAGAACATCTTTAGGAAACAAACAGAAAGAATTTGGGAGGCTTTTCGTGTTTCGGGGCCACATCTGGTCTTTGCTCAGGGAGAACTCCCAAGCAGAACTCGGGGAACCAGGCAGTTCCAGGTATCTAACCTGGGCCTCCAGCATGCAAAACATGCGCTCTGACCCCACCACCAGACTTTCAAAAAAAATTTTTTTTTCTGACTGGGGATATGGTTCCAAGGGCTAAAACTCAGAAACCAAAGAGCTAGTACAGTGGGTAGGGCACTTCCCTTGCACGTGGCAACCTGGGTTCAATCCCTGGAACGCCACATAGTCCCCTGAGACTTCCAGGAATGATTCTTGAGCTCAGAACCAGGAGTCAGCCTTAAGCACTGCTGGGGGTGCCCCCTCCCATAAAAGGGGGGAGGTGCTGGAGCTCATGACATGCATGTGTGAGGCCTGGGCTTGATCCTGGCACCTGCTGGGTGTGATCCAAAGACAAGGCAAAACAAAACAAAACAAAACAAAATCAAAGTCCAGGATGAGGCTGGAGAATAGTGAAGATGACCTCTATTTAATTTCTATTACTCGACTCTTTTAAAAGAATATTTCCAGGCACAAGTTATGAAATTAAAAACAAGCTAAAAGGAAAGGAACAGAAGCATTTTATTGAAGAAGACAAAGGGAAGCCAGAGCGGAGACTGGGGGCCTCAGCTGTGTTGGAGAGAGCTGGGGGCTGAAGTCGGGAGTTCGTGCGGCCACTGGGCTCATGCACACGCCTGGTTCTCTGGTGGGCGGGTGGCCAGGTGGACGAGGACTCTCTCGTGACCTAGCTTAGAGTTCAACACATTCTGGGGATCCTGGTGACCACGCCACCCCTCGCGCAGGCTGGGAGGGGACCCCGACACTCCCAGCCACCAGAGTCTGTCAAGTCTGATCCCGGGCATTCCCTCTGCACTCTAGCCCTGCCCCTCTGCTGCTCTCCAGCCTCTCCCCTGGTGCCTGGGAGGGTGTTCGTAGGATAAGGCATCCCAGGGACCGCCCCTTTGCCCCCCCCCCCCCCCCATTCACAATCTGGGCTCATTCCTTCCTCTGAACTTTACTCCCCGCTACAACCCCCAGCGACACTTGCTGCTCTGCTATGGTCCGCGTGGTACAGGATCCAGTCTCGGTCTCTCACAAGCAAAGCACGGCTCAGCCCCTTAGAACCCCCTCCCTGGTCCTGACATGCTTTGGTTCGTGGAGATGGGAGCCTGGTCCTGGAGCCAGCGAGGCAGACAGCATCCGGGTTTGGTGCCAGCATACTGCGGGTGCCAGTATCTGGTGGTTTGGTGCCAGAATACTGCTGGTGCCAGTATCTGGCGGCACCAGCTCAGAGCTGGGTGCAAGGGCAGTCCCTGGGGAAGGAAAGGGGCTGGCTGCTCTGTCTCTGGTGTTTCCAGCCAAGCCAAAGGGACTCATAGAGCACAGAGTGACCCTCTGACCATATCGCCTTTGGCCCTGAGGTTGGGTGTACTCAGGGCCTCATTAAGGCAGACCCAGCTGTGGCATCTTTGCTCCTTCCTCACCTGCAGCCTTGGACCAGGGCAGCCAGGCAAATTCTCAGCACGCGTCTCAGCCTCCCCAGAGATCTGGGTGGGGTCTTGGGGATCCGTATCCCCACATCCTATATATAGAGGCACACAGCTTGGCACTAATTGGCAGGCAGAAAATAGTGGTCTCATTGGCTATGTCTCGGGTCAGTTAAAAGGCAGGGACAACGGTGGAACCTGCCTCAGAGATGTTGGAACTGAACTAGTTAATAGGAGTTTATTGTTTTGCTTTTGTTTGGGGGCCACACCCAATGGTGCGCAGGGGGGCTACTCCAGGCTCTGTGTTCTGGGGTAGGGGTGCTCCTCCAGGTCCTCGGGGGACATGGTAGAAAGGCTCAAACCCAGACCTGCATGCAAAGAGTGTGCTCAGCTCATTGAACCATCTCTCCGGGTCCTAGTCAACACTTGATAAAGTGCCGAGAAACAAGGAGAAAGCATCCCAGAAATATTTATGAAAAGAAAAGCTAGAACACAACAGACCCTGGCACTCTGTATTCTTAAGTGCACACACACACACCCACACCCGGCACTCTTGCAAGCCATGTGCGAACAGACAAGGGGGCTCAGTACTCACAGAACCCCGAAGAGCCCTGTCCCGACAGACACCCAGGACACCAGCCCCTCTCCCTGCCTATGTCTCTGCAGGCCCACAGGCGGCCCGTCCACTCACCTCAGAGGGCCACTGGGAAGGGTCAGAGAGGACAGGGGGGGTCTAGGTCCTGACATTTACCCTGCACTCTGAACCCCTGTTTTCTTTTTTTATTGCGGGGATTGGGGGGCCCTCCCAGGGAACCATGCGGTGCTGGGGATCGAACACAGGGCTCCCGCATGCAGAGCACGCGTAGCCCTTTGACTCAGCTCCCAGCCCCAGAACCGCTGCGGTTCCAAATGTAAGTCTGTGTAGTGTGATGTTTCTAGGCCTGGGGAAGTCCCACGATGCAGAGCTCTCATCCCTAGACTTCTCTGCCTCAGACCAGGGAACTCAGGGCAAAAGTCTCTGTCTCACGGTGGTCTTTTGGCAGCCAGAAAAATGGAGGCATGGAGCGACCGGGCCCTGGGGAAGGCCTCGGGGAATCCAGGGACTCCAGGGCTCTGCGGGCAGGGAGCCGATCGGTGGGAGGCTGCCTGCCAGTCAGACTGTCTCTCTAGAAGGCAGATGCCTCACCTGGGATCCTGGAAATCAGACACATGGGCAGACGGCTTGCTCAGCAGCTCGAGGTCCCGAGGGGGGAGCCCGCACGCCCGTCCTCACATTAGGAAGGTGCTATCCTCCTGTCTCCAGCCCTGCCTCTTCCTTCTTGCTGCTCTGGCTCTATCCACTCCTGTGCTGGGGAGTTCTCAACCCCAAACTTCTTTGTCTTTCTTTTTTTCTCTTCCTTGCCTCATTTCCCTCAGGCTCTTTCCCCTCGGGGCCTCTTGGTCCCCCACTCTTAGTAGGATGCAGACTGCGGTGGGGAGATTGGTGTCTCCCATTTTCCAGGGGTTCCCACCCTCACCGGAGTGGTATTCTGTGATGTCTCAGGATCCGCTTGAGGACTCCCATGCCACGCTCCACTCACTTCCCAGGGCAAAGAGCTTCCATTCTGGGTAAAGCTGGGCACGAGTGCATGTCCATGCATGCATGTCCTCCTGAGGGCTGAAGGGGACCCCGGCATCCTGCCATCCAACATGGGTAATTCTGACCTCAGACCCACAGCCCTGTATGGCAGAGCGCAAACAAAACTTGCCGTCCAGAGCCCCCCGCCAGAGCCAATCTGAGGGACCCTACACCAGTCTTCTGCTTGACCACTCTGTCATCTTCCAGGGGTGTAGACCAGGCCAGCAGTACTCATAGAAGAAGAAGTTAAGGGTACCGCAACCAGATGTCCTGACCTGGGACCCCAAGCACAGCCTTCAGGAACAGGGAGATCTCAGGAAGTCACAGCCCTGGCACCTCCAGATAATGAGCTGGGATTGAGGATCCCCAGTTGGAGTGAACCTTCACCCAAGTTAGGTTACAAGCCTGGCACCCCAGAGGAAGCCCACAGCCCATCCTGGGGTGCGGGCAGGGGACCCCGAGAAGAGATCAGCCTGTCCTGCGGTGTGGGCAGGGGGACCCTCGGGAGAGCTCACAGCCTGTGCTGGGGTGCGGGCAGGGGACCCCAGAAGAGCTCACAGCCTGCGCTGGGGTGCGGGCAGGGGACCCCAGAAGAAAGCACAGCCCGTCCTGGGGTGTGGGCAGGGGGCTCTCAGGGAGAGCCCACAGCCCGTCCTGACGGGCGGCAGGGGGACCCCGAGAGAGCCCCCCACAGTCCTGGGGTACCGACAGGGGGACCCCAGAGAGAGCCCACAGCCCGTGCTGGGGTGCGGGCAGGACACTTACCAGCGCGTACGCGGAGGTGAGCACCGGGCAGCAGAGCAGGAGCGCCAGGCCGGGCGCGATCCGGGCGGCCCCCATCGCCACCGCCTAGGGCCCTGTCCCTCGGGGCAGCCGCCGTCGCCGGCCCTGGGGGGGTGGTGGTGGTGGTAGTGGGGTTCAGAGCTGCGTCAGGCGGGACGGCCCCGCCCACGCTCCGGCCTAGGGGACCCCGGCGGCCCGGCGGCCCGAGGCCCCGGGGCCCGGCGCGGGGCCCATGCGCCCAGGGCGAGCGAGCGGACGGGCGCAGAGCAGAGCGAGAGGGAGGGAGGAAGGGAGGCAGCCGGGGGCCGGGCGGGCGGCGGGCGGGCGCCGAGCGCTGCGGAGCTGCCCGTCTGCCTCGGAGCGGAGAAATCACATCCATATGGCCGGGCCCCCCGCCCCCGGCCCGCCTCCCACCCCCCGCCCCCCTCCGCGCCGCCTTTTCTTTCTTTCTTTCTTTCTTTCTTTTTTCCCTCTCCCCCTCTCTTTTGGGGAACTGGGAGCTGTGGCTTCGCCCCACGCCCAGTGGGGGGAGGGGCGGGGGAGGGGTTGGGGTCGTGGTCTGCAGGGGGCGAAGCGGGCTGTTATTTTTAGCTCCGCCGCGGGAGCAAATAGGGGGGCAAACTGGGCGGGGCGGAGCCGGGGTGGGGGGGCGCGCAGCCCGGCTCCGCGATCCCAACTTGGGAGCGACAACTTAAGTGCTCGGGCGCTCGGTCCCGTCCGGCGGGCGGTCGCCACCCGCGCGCCCCCTCCGCAGCATCCCGGGCCGGGCCCGGTCCCTCCGCCCGTCCGTCCGTCTGTCCGTCCGTCCGTCTGCGCGCCTGTCAGGCGGGCGCACGCTGCCGGCTCTCGGCCGCTTGCTCCTGCAGCAGCCCCAGCTCCATTTCGGTCACTCCCTGGCTCGCTCCCTCCCCTCCCCCTGCTCGCTCCCTCTCTACGAAAACATTTGCAAGTTTCCAAAAAAGCCACGGAGCCGAGCGGCGCGGGGCCGGCGGCTCCAGCAGCCCCGAAGAGGCGCCGCCGAGGGACCCCCGAGACGGCCCGGGCCTCCCCCCGTCCCCGCTGTCCTCCCGCTCCGCTCAGGCCCGGGGCCGCCCCGACCCCACTCCGGGCGCCGGTGCCCCCAACCCCGACTTACTCCGAGCGAGCCGCCGCGGCCCCCGCCTAGCCATGGATGTCGGGGACCCCCCGACAGCCTCCCCCGGACAGCGCCCCGTCCGCGGCCCCGGGGGGGCTTCATGGAGCGCTCGGGCTCCCCCAGCGCCGCCCGCCGCGCGCGCGTCCCTCGCCGGCGTCTGCCGCGCCCTCCCCCGCGCGCGCCGCGCCCGCCCCCGGCCCCCGCCCCCCGCCGCCCACCCGGGCGCGTGGACGGGCCGCGCCGGACCGTGCGGCGGCGGCCCCGGGTGTGCGTGTGACATCGGGCGGGGAACGTGGCGGCCGCTTCTCTCCCCCGCCCGGCACGGGTCGCTGTTTTTATTTTTCCAGCTCGCCGGGCCCCGGGGAGGGGGATGAGGGGGGTGGGGGCCCCCACCCCCGACCTCACGGGCCGGGCCGCTGCCCCGAAGGAGCCCCGCGCGCCCCGGGCCCCGCGCTGTCGGTTGGCCCGCGGGACTCCCCGCCCGGGGCTGCCGCTACCCCACCCGCCCCCACGCCCCGCAGCGGGCGCCTCCCTGGAGGGTCCGAGCGCGCGGCCCTGGACCCGCCCCGCCCCGCCCGCAGTGCGGGCAGGCTCGTCCCTCTCGCCCGCCCTCGGTCCCTCTCCGGGTCGGGCTCTCCGGGAGTCCCGACCCCTCCAGATGCCCGCCGGCTCCGCCCCTGGCTCCACCCCGGCGCCTCGAAGCTGCAAGACCCGTCCGGGGCTCTGCGGAGACTCCCACCCCCTCGAGCCCCCCACTAACCCTCGCCCAGCCCATCGCTGTCGTCTCCGCGGGTTCGAGTCCACCCGGGACTTGGGCGCAAAGGAAAGAGGAAACTCTGAGGGCAGGGGTCGGACAGGGGCAGAGCTTACGGGCTGGTACCCACTAGGGGCCTCGAACCCCTGCCTGCCACCGGGGCACCTGAGAAGGCCTGGGATACTTGAGACAGGGTAGGAAGAGGGGCAAAGTGACTGGGCCCCGGGGGCATGCATCTGAGCTGCAGGACAGTTTCTGCTGTGCCTCTTACCAATTGTGTGTCCTGGGCACGGCTGTCCCACTGTTCGGAAGTCAGTTTCCTCATCTGTAAAATGGGGAGTTGGGAAGTCGATTCAAAGGATTTTTTTTTCAGCTCCTCTATATCAGTGGTTGTCTGGGCCCAGAGCTCTGGAGGCTCCCCAGACGTGGTCTGTGGAAACAGAGTTCCTCAGAGCCCTGGGATTGGGAACACCGCCAATGTCCAGAAGCCCCCTCCTCTCCAGCTCACCCCCCACCACATCTCCATAGCCTCCTATGGCCACACTCTCCCCCAGGGTCCAGGGCATTCCTTGTTCTGGGGACTAAATGGTGTTGTTGGAGGCAGCCTCTCTCCCCGGGTTCACGCTCTGCCTCTCCCCTGCAGGGTCTCTGCCATCAATACTCTCTGCTTAGTTAGGACCGTCCTTCTTTAGGTCCCATCTGCTCCATTTGAGAGCTGGGGTCGGGGGAGGTGAAACCGCCCCATGTGGAGGGTGGGTTACTCGGGAGCAGGGACAGAAGCCCCGAGGCCCAGAGTGAGCATCTAATGAACGCTTGAGGGACTTAGGGGTTTTATTTTGTGTGGTCTCAGCTTCTGGTCTCTGTGCCCAAGTTGCTTCTGTTCTAACTTTTCGTGGTTCGATGACTGCTACCACCAAATAGGAAAAAGAACATCCATGGAGGGGTAGCGGGCCTTAGGAGATAGAACTAGGGGTTGACGGGAGTCCACCTCAGGTATGACAAGGCAAAGCTCAAGATCTAGTGTGTGTGTGGGGGAGCGGGGGGCACAATCATAGTTGCCTTTAATGGGCTGGAGATGAGCTGCAGAAGGGGCTCTGGTTTGCTTTGGGCCCCTTTAAGGCATTTCCTTTGCTTAAACTTGTGTACTTCAGCCTTGCGGAGTCCACTGCTGTGGGTGGGGCCATGGATCCCCTAAGTCACCCCCAGACCTCTGGTTAAAATACCACCATGAGTCTGTGGGTGTCACATATTAACTGGGAGCCAGCACCCCAGGGCCTGGCACAGCCAGTCTGTCCTTTTTTTGACAGCAACCCTGGGGCCCAGGTCAGTTTCAGGTCAGTTTCAATGGCATTAAGAAGGAGCTGGTGGAGGGTGTGTGTGTGTGTGTGTGTGTGTGTGTGTGTGAGAGAGAGAGAGAGAGAGAGAGAGAGAGAGAGAGAGAGAGAAAGAGAGAGAGAGAGAGAGTCCCTGTGGAGTCCCCTCTGATACCCAGGCTGGGGCCCAGGAGGAGGAAGAAGAGACAATGTCACTGGAGCTCAGGCTGATGCGGGTGCCCCAGCTGTTGCCACGCCACAACCACTAGAAGGGCTCCAGCCAAGGTACACAGGCCCTGGGCCCACGGTGGGTGCCAGACTCAAACAGGAAGGACGAGGGCCCGGCTCCGAGCCCTGCAGCCCAGCCTCGCTCAGAACCCCCATTGCTCCAGCCTGGGGCTCGCCCGAGAAGCTCACCCAAGAGAGCCTCCTCCATGCCTTACCCACCCTCCTAGCCTGAGTCCCCCAGTCAGCCCCAACCCCAGTCTCCACCCTATCCTCCACCGGAGCTTAACCACTAAGTGGAATTCTATCCCAGCCTGATCTCTAACCCCTGGCTGAACCCTGACCCCCACCAGAGCATCCCTGGAGCGGCAACTCTAGACCACTCTCTGATTCCAGGCCCCCTCTGGAAGCCTTTCAAGGCAAGGTAGGGGAGAGGATGGCCAGGCCGTAAGTGAACTGAGGTGCCACTTTTACAGCCGTTTCGGCTGCTCATAAACACCCCCTGCCCGGCTGAGTCACTGGGGGCTCCCGGGGCAGCGGGTCAGGCAGCCCCCTCCCCTGGAGCAGGAAACCTGGCCTTCTCACCTCTCCAGAGGGTGGAGGGAGGAAAGCGGGGGGCACAGGGGGTGCGGGGGGGGGGTGCTGGCAGTGTGGGCTTCCTGTCTCTGATCCCAAGGTCACAGGCCCCCTGCAGCAGGGACCCTATCGCAAACATGCCCCCTCCCATACCTTGTCTGTCCCCCAGCACAGGTACACACACATTCACCCAGCCTCATCCCTCCACCCTGCACCCCACTCCCCTGGACCCCGCTTACCTGGACCTCGCAAGGCCTTCTGAGAAGGGCCCGGAGCTACAGAGCCTGCTCAGGTTGGCTCCGGGGAGGCCATGGGTAGCCCTGGGCTGCCCGTGAGGGCCAGGCTGAGCAGGGCTGTTACTGTCAGCACAGGAAAAGGCCTGAGTCAGTTTTCACTGAAAAGAAAAATTAATTATTTTTTACCAAGCCCAGCACTTGCCTAGGACTTTGTCCCAGAGCCCTGGTGCGGGGCAGAGGCAGGTCCGAGTATACTAGTGTTCAGGCCACCCCACTAACCCCCATCTGTCTTCCAGGCTCCCACCTGCTCAGGTCCTCACGGGTGTGTGTGTGTGTGTGTTTGTGTGTGTGTGTGTGTGTGTGTGTGTGTGCTCCAGTGGTTCTTCCCTGGCCTGGCCAAGCCTCTCTTTAACTCTCCTTCTGTTTGTTTCGTGTCTCTGCCTGCCCTGGCCAGTCCTTTCCACGTCTGAGACTGTCCAGGTCATCAGGAGCTATGAGCACACCCTCTGTGGGTGACTTTATTTGGGTTTGGTCACTTGCAGAAATCTGAGGCTGAGTCTGACGCATATCTAGGGGACAGGCAGGAAACTGAGGCCCAGCGGGCTAGTCATCCAACCTGGGTCCTCAGCTAGGAGAAAGGTGAGGACCCTCGTGTCACCCAGCCTTTGTGCTGACCCCTATAGCCCCAGCGTCCCCCGTGTCCCATTCCTGGAACTAGCTGGGGAGCCTGCTCTCTGCCCTGCTCCCAGACACCACCCCTGGTCCGGGGCCTGTTGAAGCAGTTGGAGGTCACAGAGCAGGGGCCAGTGAACAGGGTGACCTCCTTCCATGGGTTTGTGTGACAAGCGGTCGTACAGTCAGAGCTGCACCTGAGGATAAAAACAGGCATAGAAGGAGGAGCGCCTGCACCACTCTGGGACTGAGCCCTCAGCCCTGGAGCCCCTGGCGGGAGACCGCCCACCTGCCTGAACCCAGCCTCCGCTGGTTTGTACCTGGGAGCTCCAGGCTGGGTCTGACAAGGTGTAATGATTCACGTGGCAGCCAACGCTCAGCACATTCCAGCCGTAGCCCCCAGAGTCCAGCACGTGAAGCCGCTGACCCCAAACCTCCCCCCAGCTGCTGGGGCATGTCCCTAGAGCCAACGTCGCCAGAGGTGACCCCTCCCCAGGCCAGGTTTCCCAGATTCCTGGGGAGGGGACCTGTCTTTGCCGTTTTCTAAATACTCTCTAGCTCTCAAACTAAAAAGAAACCAAAAAGACAGGGAGAGCGGTGGTCTAGAGGGTGGACTGAACGTGTAATTCCCCCCCCCCCAAAAAAAAAGGCTGTGTCCAATGTCCCACAGCATGTCCAGGCTCTGGCCCCTTGGCCCCGGGCTCTCCCCAGGTTTATTGAATTGAAGGGGACCTCAAGGATAACGGTTGTTCTGTGAGTAGGCACGGGGGCAGGGGAAGATGTGGTTGTGGGGGCAGGTGAGTGGACCTCAGAACAGTGGGCAGCTTGCTCAGGAAGGGCAAAAGTCTGCCTTCCATCGCTACCCACTGCTCCGTGCCCCTCCGGTCGTCTCCAAGGAGACTTTTCCTCTTCTGAGTGCCCCTCCCTGCCCTTCCCACTGTTCCCATCCTCAAGGGCCAAGGGGATAGGAGAGAGAGTGCCCTGACCTGAGAGTGTTCTGTGCTCGTGGCCTCAGTTTCCTAGTCTGTCATTGGCAAAAGGGCAGGGCAGTTCACACTTGGGTCTTGGGTGCAGACCGTGAAGGTCTGTGGCCCCGCCCCCTTCGCATCTCAGGGGTGACTGTGCATACCAGGCCCGGTCACTACAGTGGGCCCCAGCACAGGACTCTGAGGGGTGGGTCTGGCCCTCAGCTCCGGGGACAGGAAGTCGTATTTCGGTCCTGGGTCCTGGGGAAGGAGGACGGGGGAGAATGGGCGCTCAGACCCAGTCGTGTTTACTCGGGCCCGGCCCCCTCTGAGCTCAACAGCCCCATTCATTGGGAGCCCCATAAACCCTTTGGGGCTCCCTGAGGCTCCAAATGCCAGGACGCCGGGTCT